CGTACCCGTCGGTTCTCAATTCAGATACCCGTTCGGGTATTTAATTTGACAAGAACCGTCGGGTTCGGATCGGTTCGGTTCGGGTTCGGTTCGGTCGGTTCGGTTCGGGAGATTTGCCCAGCCCTACTTACACTACTTTTATTTTCTCTTTTCTTTCTTCTAAAAGGGGCAATCCTTGTATTACTTATCATTTTTGTAGCACTCGATTTTACACATTGTTCCAAAACTGGTTTTCTTACTATTCAACCCTTTTATCTTGCACTTTCATCCATTTTGTTTTAGCAACTGTTCACAAATTTCTCCCATATGAAGTTACTTTTTACTTTCTTTCTCTCTCTCATTTCACACGTATTTTGGGTTAGCTCCTCTCACCACAATCAAATCGAACTGAGGAAGAAAAAAGGTAAAATCCAAAACACACACGCTTGTCTCATATTGAACTTCCTTTTTCATTCCATTTTCAGAATCTATTTAATTTGATAACTGTCATTTGGGTAGTGTTCTATGTTGAGCAACGCATTTCCCTTCGAAATAGAAATTCTAATTTTTCCAATCTTCCAATTTTTTCAATATTTTCTTCGATAAAATATTTATTTTGTAGTTCTCCTTCTTGTACGTTCTTTTATATTCGTTTTCTTCTCTACGATGCTCCCAGGTGAAAATATTTTTTTATTTTTTATTTTTAGTTTTGAAGTAATAACAATCATGGTAATTTTGAATGATTTCTTGAATTTTGTGAATTTGTTGCTTTTTTTATTGTTATTTTACATTGAATAACACAGATCACTTCAAAATAGAAATTCCAAATTTTTCAATGTTTTCTTCAATAAAATATATTTGTTTGACTGTTCTTCTTCTTATAGGTTCTTTTATTTTTGTTCTCCTCTCTATGACATTCCCAGGTAAAAACTTTTTTTTCTTGTTTTTAATTTTGTTGTAACAGTAATCATGTTAATTTTGAATGATTTTTTAAGTTTTGTGAGTTTGTTGCCTTCTTTTGTTAGTGATGACGTGTCACTTGAGGGACTAGAGCAAGAGTTTGAAGATTGAAAAATTCATGTTGTAAGTAGAGTCATCATTTTTGTGGATCATAATATAATATATCATATCAATCATACACTACCTTAAAAGAGAGAACGAGGCAGTTACTGCACTTGTACTTTTAAATTAATTTTATTTTAGTTATAATTTGTAATAAATATTGAATTATTTGTTTACAGCAAGTTGTGACGACTACGGTTTTGAAAGTGCAGTTAAACTGCGAGGGATGCATACAAAAAATTTACAAATTTATGACCAAACCAAAGGGTGAGTAGCCACCGTGTTATGTTTATTGAAATTGAAGTGTTTAATTGAGACATTGACAACGTTATTGTGTATTAGAATGTGTAAATAGACAGATATAAGGATTTAATAAAAATGAATGAAGTAATTAACATGAAAATTCTAGCCGATTCTCTAAATAAATAAAGGAGGATTTAATGTTTTGCTAATCCAGACGATTAGCTTTTGCAATCAAATTTGGGTTAAATTGACTGCTTTCATAAAAATAATAAAATAATACTTTTAAGATATGTATTCGTTTGCAAATTCTTGATTCTTTTTCACAGTGTATAGTTTTGTTGGCATTAGGTACACGTTTGATTTACTTCCAATCTCAAATTTTGTGATTTTCTGCGAAACTGCATTTCTTGAACCTTGCAGGAAAATGAGGTTATCAGTATCGGTGTCTATTATTTTCTTAGGCAATATTGAAGATGTTCACATACATGTATCGTTAGAGGTTTAACTTCCTTTTCTTCCTTGTGCCTTTCAATTATCTCAAAGGTAAAAGAACAAATATAAATGAGCCGAATCACCATCCGCTGATGCCATATTTTCCTTCGAATAAAATTTGCTTAATATCACACATCTCTGAATTATCCTCAATTCCAAGTTCAATATTAATTTAAACCAGGATTATGTGTTAATTTTAAATACTTTCGAACTGAAGCAAAATTAAACTTTCAACCAGTAGAAACAAAGTGTTTGCAAAAAATGCCTTTTTGATTGATATTATATTTGATGCACCTACTACTCCATTTATGGTGCATGCTTTTGACTTAGTTTAAGATTTTGCTTGAAAATGGAGTCATTGTCTTGAGATTGAATGTGTGTTTATTTTAAATAGTTTGTCGTCTGCAATATTCTCACGTGTAGATGTTATTATTTCTAATGAAGTACATTACTTGTGTGAAATATCTATGTGTATGGTGTCAAATAATTTTTTTTTCCAATTCTATAATTTTCGGCCCGATTTATTTGCTTCATCCAATTAGTTATTTTTATCATCATGTAGGTTATTTAAGAGTAAAAAAATGTTATAATTGTAAAAGCTACTTATAAGTTAAAAATATTAACTTCAAATTTTAAGTATATTTCTAAAATGTAAAGAGTTACTTATGAGTAAAAAATTTGTTTTAAGTTATTTAAAAATAAAAAAAATTGAAATTTGCAAAAAAAAAAAAAAAAAAAAAAAATTGCGTCGTGTGCGCATGAGTATGTATGTGTGTGATAAGCATCTGTTTATACAAATTAAATGCATGTGTTCATACACCAACTAATTCTGTTCAATGCATTCTCAGCTTTCCCTAAAAGTATGTGGCACATGAAAAGTAATAAAAAAATATAGATGGCAATGCATTCATGTTAATGATTTAAGACAATCATATTACACACATTGTCACTTACCATTATGGCATTGCAAAAAAGTCAAGCTTTTCTTTTAGTATAATTTTTCTTACTTCTATAGACTAATTCACTTGCACTCCTGGAAGACGGTGCTGTTGCAGTAGTATTGCTTGGCTTTGCACCCCCTTCTACACTTTTACATGCCAGTTCATCCAAGGTAACAAGAAAAAATAAGAAATAGTGGTTTATAAATTCAACGATGTTATCTTTCTGATTATGTTGTTCCACATATTCTAACTTGTTATTTTGACAGTTGAATGAGGTGCTTATGTCTAATCCATTTCATAGGCCTCAATTTGGTTTCATGATTGATGTTATAAGGGTTGAAGGTATGTCATTTAAAATAAACTGCCTAAAAGTAGGAGCTTATAGTTTCTATACATGATAAAGTTTTGAATGACTGTTTTTTATGTACAGATTCTCAACTTATGGTTGGCTCCGCGAATCTGCATTTAACACTGGTCTTATGGTTATGGTTATGGACAGTGCTGATAGAGTGGACATTCAACTGTCAGGTAACTAACCTTTGTCATTGATTCATGGGTTCCCCCTTCTACAATTTTACCTGCCAGTTCATCGAAGGTAACAAGAAAAAATAAGAAATAGTGGTTTATAAATTCAACGATGTTATCTTTCTGATTATGTTGTTCCACATATTCTAACTTGTTATTTTGACAGTTGAATGAGGTGCCTATGCCTAATCCATTTCATAGGCCTCAATTTGGTTTCATGATTGATGTTACAAAGGTTGAAGGTATGTCATTTAAAATAAACTCCCTAAAAGTAGGAGCTTATAGTTTCTATGCATGATAAAGTTTTGAATGACTGTTTTTTATGTGCAGATTCTCAACTTATGGTTGGCTCCGCGAATCTGCATTTAACACTGGTCTTATGGTTATGGTCATGGACAGTGCTGATAGAGTGGACATTCAACTGTCAGGTAACTAACCTTTGTCATTAATTCATGGGTTCCCAGTCATGATCAATTGTTATATTCTTTTGTGTGTGCCGATAAACATGAAGTGTCTTTGGACTCTTTAAATGAAAGATCAAGTATGCTTAATACTTGTAGGGTACTAAATGATTTTGTTAGTCATCTCTCCCTCCCCCTCTATCTTTCTCTATGTCGGCACGCATATATATTTACTAAAGCCAATTGATCTATTTTAGGACTGTATACTTGATTGAAAATTTCAAAACTTTATTTATACAAAGTGTGCACATTCAAGACTACTAATATCATTGTTAAACTTTTGGAAAATGATGGCATGTTGTTCAGGTCCCTTTATATACTTAAATTTTGTTTGCTAATTGTTTTTTTTTCTTTTTTAAAGTGTACTTTATTTCCTGATGCTCTCTAAATGTATCGTGACTATAGTTTTTATTAGTTACATTATATGTAAATTTACCTTATCAAATCAATCTAATGCACATATCTCTCATCAATCCTTAACGCTAGACACACTAATATTATCTTAAAAAATAACACAGCCCGTGCATTGCACAGGCATGCGACTAGTTTAAATATAAGATGTTATCTATTTTAAATAGTCAATCCTTAAAAATTATACATTAAGAAACTCTTTATATTATTATTTTAATTTAAATAATGAGTATGACTCTCCAAATTTGGAGGAAAAATACTATAATAATTTAAAGGAAAATTAGGGAAGATAAAAGATAAAAATTATTAATTAAATATGTTTGATTTGTCTAAGTTTTAACCTAAAAATATAACATTTGTCTATTTTTTAGCCCCCTTTAAAATTCTTCAATTTAATTTAATATTTTATATTTTCTTTCTCTTACTTTCAATCACATAATTTTCAATAAAATAATATTAAACTCAAATCGAAAACTTTTCAACTACACAAATTTTTTTTAAAAATGCTATTCCTCTCATTATAAATTCAAATAATAAGGGCCAAAGATGGGTTATTAGTAAATAAGCGAGAAAATGGTAGATCAGAGAGAGATGGTCATTGAGTGTGAATTGCCCCCTACATTACAAATTGTCCATACTCCTTGTAGGCGCAGTATACATATAGCTCTTGTTCCCTGATTTGTTGAGATACATTTCGAGATTTACCTTTTTTACAAAACTCTAGGGACAGGATGGTGGGGACGCTTAAGGTTGGTGTTCAAACTTTTTTTTTTCCTTTTTAATAGCGCACTAGAAAAAGTCAGAGACACGCGTCAAAATCTTAAGGATCTGATGGCGTATAGGATTACGCCATATTCCTGGAGTATGGCTATATATACAGTGGGAGGCAGCGCTGAGGTCTATTCCAGAACGACCCATCGCTTGCAATCATATTACTTTCTGTCACTTTTCTAAAATTTTATAATAATAAGTCAAAATGGCGAAATCTCCAGAAACAGAGCACCCTCTCAAGGCTGTTGGATGGGCTACAAAAGACACATCTGGGGTTTTTTCACCATTCAAATTCTCCAGAAGGTATAGATCTGCATTTCTAGTATTGTTTCGATTTCACATTAGTTTGATCTGATTTGATTTACACTGCATTTGATGTGCAGGGCGACTGGAGAGCATGATGTGCAGTTTAAAGTGTTGTATTGTGGGGTCTGTCATTCGGATCTTCATATGGCCAAGAATGAATGGGGCTTCACTCAGTATCCTCTTGTTCCTGGGTAACATCTCCTCTCTCTGTCTTTCTTTACACATGATATTGTTGTAGTTATTTCTGGTTGACGTGTGACAGCTATCTATTTTTGAAATTGAGGACATTTCATGGTTTTGATAAGATTAAACAGAGTTGAATCTGACCTTAAGAATATAGAAATATTTAAACAAATCCTTGTGACATATTTGGTTGAAAACAAGCATTTCCGATTCAAACAAAGAGATCTGTCTTTGGTTTTTTGTAACCGCCGGTTGTAAGTTGCATTAATAATGGCTTGTTTTTAAGTTGTCTTCAATGGATATTCGATCTAATAAACTAAATCATATATGTTAAATGCTAACTATATGTGATAGTTTCTGTTAGTCTGTTTGAATCACATTAAAGTTAGAAAAAAGATCACTCATCTGAAGGTAGCCGATGCAATTGTTGAACTAGGCTGTTTATTGCAGGCATGAGATTGTGGGTGAAGTAACCGAGGTTGGTAGCAAGGTGGAGAAATTCAAGGTTGGGGACAAAGTGGGAGTTGGATGTATGGTTGGATCATGTCGCGAGTGTGATCAATGCACCAACGATCTTGAAAATTACTGTTCTAAAATGATACTGACCTATAGCGCGGTTTACGTTGATGGTACCATTACATATGGAGGTTATTCTAATTTAATGGTTGCTGATGAGCACTTTGTTGTTCTATGGCCTGAGAACTTTCCCCTCGACATTGGTGCTCCTCTCTTATGTGCCGGCATTACGACTTACAGCCCCTTGAGGTACTTTGGACTTGACAAACCGGGAATGAGTATTGGTGTTGTTGGGCTTGGCGGGCTTGGCCATGTAGCTGTGAAGTTTGCCAAGGCTTTTGGTACTAAGGTTACAGTTATCAGTACATCTATTAATAAGAAGAAGGAAGCTATTGAAAAACTTGGTGCCGACTCGTTTTTGGTTAGTCGTGATCCAGAGGAGATGAAGGTGAGGAATTGGGATTTGGTTATATTTTGTTGTTCTTCTGAGACATGAAACCGCATTAATCTCTATATTTGTTTTTGTTCAGGCTGCAACTGGGACATTGGACGGGATCATTGATACTGTATCTGCTCATCACCCCATTTTACCCTTGATTAGTTTGTTGAAGCCTCATGGAAAGATGGTACTGGTTGGTGCTCCGGAAAAGCCACTCGAGTTGCCAGCTTTTCCCTTGATTTCAAGTAAGCAATTCAATAGATGTTTCTCATTTTCTTGGTCCTTCGGACTCTCAGAACATGGTTTATATAAGCTTACAAAGTTCACTTCTAAGAAATAAGTTTTAAAATAATAAATAATGGCTTAACATCAATGCTTAAAAAACCGGCCTGGCAACGACCTCCAAAAGGCAAAGGGTCAAGGTTCAAAGGGTTGATCTGGTGCTAAAATAAAAGTAAAATCTAGGGGTGAACCATGCGGTAGTTTAGTTAAATTCATGCTTTCCAGTTTTCCTCTTTTTATCCTATAATCGAACCGGACTTCGGAGTGGTTCGTAGTTTCTCCGGTGAAACCTGCTGAGGTCCGCTTGGGCCTTGACATTATTGCTGAACATCCACAATGGAATGCAGGTAGAAAGTTATTAGCTGGCAGTGGAATAGGAGGAATGAAAGAGACCCAAGAGATGATTGATTTTGCAGCAAAACATAACATATTACCAGATGTGGAGATTATCCCCATTGATTATATCAACACCGCGATGGATCGCCTCGTGAAATCTGATGTTAAATACCGTTTTGTTATTGACATTGCAAAATCGTTGAAGCTCGAGTAATACAGTTTCATGAAATTTAGCTTCATTTTCGTTATGAATAATATATGCTCTTGTCTAGACGGGAAGACTGGCGGGAAATTTGTTTTTGTGGCCTGTTTTCTGTGTCATTTTCCAGTTTACTTCAAGACTTCATTTTCTATTACGTGGGACATTAAAAAGTAGCGTGATTTTCCTCCAATGATAACATACTCCGTGTTTTGCACGAAGTCTTGTTTTGTAATATGATTATCAGTCTGCTTTTGTGTGACTTTAATATAATCCAATTCATTAGACTTGGACAACTTTTCTTTCACCAGTCATATATAATATAGTATTGAACTTGTATTTAGCAGCGTCCTATAAAGCGTGATTAGGTGTGGAAATCAAATTTCGGGTTAGACGAGGCTAGCCTAGGCCTAAAAACCTTTTTTTTTAATATAATTTTAAATTTTTAAATCAATTTAAAAATTATTTAATAAAAAAAAGCTTAAAAAAAGGTGTGAGCTGGGTGCCAAAAAAATTAAAAAGGGTAAAATAATAATAATAAGTCACGAAATAACGCGAGGTTCAACGTTTTGAGCCCTCTTCGTGTCCAAGCACCACTTTTTAGAATGTTAATCCATATTTGAGCTTCATTCAATACATTTTTGTTATTGTTAATGCATTCTTTTAATAAAATAATTTTATATATAAAATTTTTTTTGAAATATATATTTTCTGGAAAAATGGGCCTAATGACAGCACTGTCTGGTATGGTCGCTATTGACTTTTACAACTACTCCTCCTTTAGGTCGGTCCACGTGCTTCGTGATTCCTAATTATTCACCTACCTCAATTTTTATTTTTTTCATCCACCAATCCTACATCCTTTTCTTCATGAATGATGGCCCTAGTAAAGGGCAATAAGCCAATAGCCCTGTCTTCATCATGTATCATACTATTATTGTACCCTTCTGAAAGTAGAATATAAAAATTGTACGTTAGGTTCCTATAATTTTTCTAAAAATTACATGAATAGAATAATGCTAGTGGAATTTGGACTTGACTAGGCCCTTGTTCGATTTCCATTACCTGAAAATGAAAATGGGGGGAATAGTATTTTTTAGAAAAATGAGTGGTTGAAAAAGAAAGAAAAATTTTCGATTTATGTGTAATATTATTTTATGGAAGATTGTGTGATTGAAAATAGGGAAGAGAAAAATGGAATGTAATGTAATTTAATTCAATGGGGATCAAACATGGGCTAGATCTGGCCAATGTTTGGTACTCCCAAGCTATTGACTTTTTCGTAGGAATGGAACCTTCATTCTCTAACAAGAATGATAATTTTATTTTTTTTGTGGAACGAAATGAAATATTTGATAAATTCCCAACATTTTTTTAGCAATAAAAACCAGGAAATGATCTCCCCCTCCAAATCTATAGTAAATGTGTTGAAGGAAAAGTCTATAAAGGAAGTAATGGACTAACTTATTATTATTATTATTATTATTATTATTATTATTATTATTATTATTATTATTATTATTCTTGTTATTATTATTATTATTATTATTCTTGTTATGAAATATTTGATAAATTCCCAACATTTTTTTAGCAATAAAAACCAGGAAATGATCTCCCCCTCCAAATCTATAGTAAATGTGTTGAAGGAAAAGTCTATAAAGGAAGTAATGGACTAACTTATTATTATTATTATTATTATTATTATTATTATTATTATTAATTATAGGTATATTTTTATAGGCCTTTTTTTATATATATTATACTATTTTAAATACAAATAAATTTTATAGAAATAATTTTATTGATCGAACCAGAGATCATGGAGGGAACCTTGACCCATTTGGGGTGGTTTCCCTCAGGAATTGAGGAATACCCTGTTACTTTGTCATCCCCGCCTTTTCTTTTATGTCTTTTCAATAAGGATAATTATATTATCGCTAAAATTTTTGTTTGGTTCACTACATTATTAACGCACACCAATTAAAAAACATTTTTGCTAATTAAATCACATTTATTTTACAAATATAACCCCAGTCTAATTAAAAAGAAAGAAACAAAAGAAAATATATGTACACCACAATAGAAAACTTGTCACAGCCGCGACAAAGGCGGTCGGCGTGGGGGTGGGTGGAGGGGACCACCAAACCCGTGAGCGTGAGATCTTTCGTGAGATCTGAACATTCGGATTTTTTTATCATCATCATTTTTTCCTGCTGAATCTTTGTAGCCATAGAAGTGAGAATAAGGACTTCGTGAAATATTTTGTGTTTCAAAGTTTTTAATTAATAATATTGAGGGGCTGTAATTCAGGAATAAATTGAAGAGAAAAAATATGATGAGAGAAATGATAATAACAATTGTTACGCCCCTTTCGGAACCACTTCGAAAATTTCACCATTGCACCTTACGAGGTGTCCACCACCAACTCAAAGTGCTTCCGAAGTGACTCCTCGTACCGGTAATTTCACCACCACACCATACAAGGTGTCCACCACCAATTCGAAGCGTTTCCGAAGTGACTCCTTCCACTGAAACAATCCTACCGAACTGGGCGAAGCGCAATGCACTCCAAGGTTCTCTTTCCGCCGCCACTTTCAACAAGAGATCTGTATCAAGATCCTCTCTGCCCCCAAGACTTAACTAATTTGACGTCTCCAAGGATTTAGTTGATGTGACGTATGAACTTTATCTCAACTCAACTCAGGAGAAATTATTATCTGTCCACTCTATAGACGCGGCTGATTGACACCTATGAGCAAACGCTTTACGCTGTCAGATGCATACACGTGCCTCACATCCAACGGTTCTCCTTACCTATAAATACCCAAGGTTTGACAAGAGGTATTGCAACTTAGCTCTCCATAACAAGAAAATATATATAATCTTTTCCCCACTCTCTTGCACAAACCGGGCACTGTTCCGATCACCGTATACTAATTTGACCGTCGGAGTGAATGCGATCGCCACCACCCCAGCTGGTTCCGATCGTGTGCGTCTGACCGCGTGTTATTCGTGCGCAGGGAGGATCACGTGGAGTAGCTATCGGTTGGCCACGTAGGAGGTCCAATTCACGAGGTTAACAGATTGGCGCTATCTGTGGAAAACTTTCCATCCAAAGTCCTACAGTCTCCATCGGAAAACCATTGACTTACCCTAAAAAGGGGACGTTCTTGAAAAAGAACAAAGTCGAATTACAATTCAGATTCTTATCACTTTTGAAAAAGGAGTAGATAAGATGAGTTCCAGCAATGATGACGCAAACCCCAGGATGGACACCTCTGAAGAAGAGGTGCTCCGAAACAATGTCACTCACCAAAGACTCCATCACCGAGGTGAATGAACGGTCATGCTTACTGAAGAAATGGCCCAAATAGCTGGGGGCATGAGAGAGATCGCAGCTCAAAATATGGCGATGCATGAATTCTTCATGCGAGCCAAAGGTCATCAGGGCGCCCAAATGCCCCAAGGATCTTACCCAACTCATGAAGTCCCTGCGTCTCGTTCCTGAGGTCATATGAGCCAGCACAGAGAACCCCCCTCCAGAGAGAAGTGGGTACGGATGTCACCTCTTATGTGTAAAGGAGCCAGCCAGCAAAATCGTAATTAGGGGACAACTTCCCACCAGAATGTGAAGCACAAAGGTCAGTCAGTGTCTTTGACCGGATGGGACGGGACCCTAGTAATAGGGTCCGCTCAGCGGAAAGATTAGTTCGACAAGGGGAAGAGCAAAAACAAGCACCCCTTCCACCTAGAAATAGGAAGGAGAGAAGGAACTTAGTTGATTGGGGTAGCCGAGGAGATGCACCTCCACCTCTCCAGAACATGCAAGATGATGGGGACTTGAAGGGCTGTGTCGATCTTACGAGATTGATGATGATGATGATGATAGCCTCCCTTTCTCAAGGGAGATGTGAAGCTCCTCAATACCTGTGAACTTCGTGCCCCCTAAATCCCCAAGTATGAAGGAAAATGGGACCCAGAGAAGTACCTCACGAAGTACATGACACAGATGAGTCTTAGGGGAGCCTTGCCTACTTTGAAATGCAGAGCCTTCCACCTAACTCTGGCCGGAGATGTCGAAGTGTGGTACAGTAGGCTGCCTCCCCTGAGCATTAGGAGTTGGCTAGAGCTGAAAAATGCCTTCTTGAACCAGTTCCTCTCACATAGAGAAGGAGAGGCCCTAGTGCAACGCCTGCAAGATATGAGACAAGCCCCTGGAGAAACGCTGAAAAGCTACCTCACCAAATTTACGGACAAGATCATCTATTGCAAAAAGGTCACTGACAGAGAAGCCCTTTCAGCCTTGAAAGGCAGCCTCAACATGAACACTTAGTTCTAGAGGGATGTACGCAGCAAGAATCCTACCACTTATGACGAACTGGTGGAAATGATGAGAGTCGAAGTCGTCAGTGAAGAGATGATTGATCATCGAAACCGTGCCGCATGGGGACTCCCTCCGTCTCAGAAGCAGGTAGGTCGAGGACCCGCGCACCTTATCACCAGCAATGGACCCAGGCAGGGCATACAATAATTTTCACGTTCGGACAGGCACTAGCTTCTGCCACACTAAATGCAGTGCCGATATTGGCATACGAGAATGCCCCTACAGAGGCGAGACCATCTAGGGGTACTGACAGCAGTCGAAAGAAGAAGAAGCGGTAAAGCAGGCCCTTAGAAGGGGCAAGGTTCTGCACCTTCCACCAACTCTATGGACACGACACCAGTGAATGCAGAGACGCTCCGTGACGCTCGAATCGGAATAACCCACATCCCTCTAGGAGGGACGAACATCCCTGCAGATCCGCCTCCCCGAACAGGGGTGAGAGGAAGCATAGAGATCAATCACCCCGGAGAACAGGATCGAGGGATAGAGGAGAGTCCGGACAGAGAGATCAGGCCCCATTTTCTGGAGGCCAAATCATCAGGGAAATTGACACGATCATTGGGTGACCTCACATCGGTGGTAACACTAGGAATGCCCAAAGGAACTACACAAGGAAAGCAAAGGATTCGTCAATGCTCACATACATCGTCAACCAGTCCCAAGAAACCAACAAGATGGCCCCGATTACCTTCTCCCAAGAAGATGCACAAGGAGTTCATTACCCCCATTATGACGCATTGGTAGTAAGAGCCGTAGTAGCAAGAAATGGACTCAAACACATGCTTGTCGATAATGGCAGCTTGGTGAATATACTGTTCGGCTCTACCTTCGACAAAATGCAAATTGAACACGGGTTAATCCCATGACCGACCCACTACTTGGATTTACTGGAGACAACATCATCCCATGAGGACGAATTACTC